AGAAAAAATTACAAGAATTAAAATGAGCCCCATATTGGGTACCAAAAACCCAAAGGCCCATGAAGCCTAAGGCCCAAAATTCCTATACTAGAGGTCCATAATACAAGACCAACAATTATGAAACCCTACACTACTCAAAACACAATAAAGATGGTGATTCATGTAAAGTCCATGCGAAGAGTACCTTGGGCCCACCAAGCTCTAAAGTAGTCAAATCTTCTAGTAGCCTCCTTGCCATAGCTCTAGTGGTTGGACCCTTGGTTCATGCTCTTCCATCATGCTTTCAGTACTTGTTTGTTTTTACATATATTGTATATATGTACAAGGTATATATGTAATCCTATAAGGGATTTTATGTTTTTTAGTCTTATGACCAGGAACTATTTTAATTTTTTTGCACCCTAAACATATATTTGTTACATAAATTTCCAAGTGACTATTGCATGAGAACCCTAGTGTAGTAAATGACTTTATGATTTTTCGTTGCATAGTGATTTATTATATTAAGTGTAGTAATATGTCGAGTCGTTACAAACTTAGGATGACACTTATTATGAAACAAAGGGAGTACTTTCATCGTCCCAAGATGATTGCAATTTGAGATTTTTACGCATAGATTAAAAATAACAATGCATGCATCACCTTTTAAAATAATTTTACCAAATTAACCCCACTATCTCTATAAATATCTTACTTTTAACAGTCGTGGACATGGTTGAATAACTTATAAAGGTGTAAATTAGAAAATAATAATAATCAATATTACATTGAAAAATGAGAACAGAAATCCTTTTAGGATATTTTTTAAATGTTAAAGTTACAATCCATTTGGGACAAAGGTAGTGTCACTTTTTTTTATCTATCCCCCTCCATTGCTTCATTTATTGATGAAGAGAAATAGATATAAAAATGATGTTGTATAACTAGGGTGGATAACATTAACTTAATTGAACTAAAGTTAAAAAAAAAATGCATTGAACTTAAAAAAAGGTTTGCCTAACTAAACTGAACCGCACATTAGTACAAGCGAATTAAATTGTTCTTTTGTTTCTTTCAATTGAACTGAATTGCACTTAAAAAATTTGAATTGAATTATGATTCAAACTAAACTATTTTGGTGCTTTGAATTGATTTGTTTTGATCTATTGGTCTATCAACATAGGCCAAATTATGAAGGAAATATAACAAATGAAGAGTGAAAAAAATAAAGTATAATATATATATATATATATATATATATATATATATATATATTTGTGCGTGTGTATGACAACGATGTCTAAATAAGTGATAGCACATGACCATGAAATAATAAAAAGAACCAGAATTTTGCTTAATGTAATATATAAGAGATATAGGTAGGGTATAAAAAGAATGTTATTTCATACTCGTGATATATATGATTTGTTTTACAACTTCTACCTTATTTATGTTTAGTTTTTCAACTAATTTGTTTATTTACTTTTTTCACATTTGTAAGGGTGATTATATCATTATATGATTTTTACAAAGTTGTGGGTTTAGTTTTTATAATTTTTTTATTAGTCACTAATGCATTCTTTATTATATTTTTACTCTGCATTAGTGTATTTATTGTGTTTGAAGTTTAAATTTTATTCAATAAAAAAATTAAATTTTAAAAATTTGACTCAAATAAATATCTAATTTCTATAAAATAAAGTTAATTTCTTTTAAATCATTTTAGTTATAGTTACTTTTTTACCTCTTAAAATTTTGTTGTTTTGGCTCCACTCCTTCCTAAAAAAAAAATTTTGCTTTTGGTCCTCTTAAGTTTTGGATTTTATAAAGTTTTTCTATGGTCTCTATAAATTTTTTCTTTTCTATTCAATTTAATGCTCAATTTGACAATAATAATGAAGAATGAAAAAAAGTACATAAATGAAATGATTTTTTTTTAAAAAAGAACTAAAAAAATGCTTATTTTAAATGATTATAAATTTATTTAAGCTAGAAATTTATTGAAATTTGTTAAATCAAAAAGCAATCCCTTAAATTTAGAGTTTTAATGCTAATAAAAAAAGTGTTTTTACATAGAAGAAATGTTTATGAAAATATCTTTGAAACATATCTTTGAAAGGCTTATCAAATGAAGTGTAAGATACAGAAGACAACAGATAATAAAGACACTACAATATTTGCTCTCCCTGACATTACTTCTACAAGCTCCATTTGGTGTGAAAATTGATAAGTAGTCTCCTTGATTAGATAAAAGGTACTATTTGGTGAAATTCATTTAATGCTTGCATTAAATGTACCAAACGGTTACCTACCACCATAAGGAAGATGATGAAGACAGACAAAAAAAACTTGTGAGTTAGGCTCAAAATGTTGTAACAATCATCTTCCCCAAAGCTATTATATAAGAAGTTTTGAAGAACAATACAACATAGAAGCTTATCATTGAAATACAAGCACATTCAAAAACACATCTCTTCTATATAGTTTTTGTCTTGTAAACAAATCTTTGTACCAAAACATTGTTGTATTCATGTCTTAAAGAGACGATCGTAACAACCTTGTAATACCTTGATAACTATTGTTATAGGGTAGAGCCTAGAGAGACTTGTTTATAAAATAATACTTGGATAATGGCTTAAAGAAGTCAATCAAAGAACACTTGTTGTAAAGCTTGGAGTTAGAGGCTTGTTGTTGAAAGAATACTTAGGTAGTGGCTTGAAGAGATCAATCAAAGAACACTTATTATAGAGCCAGAAGTGGCTTGAAAAGAAATACTTGTAACTTTGAGAAAGTTAGTGGAACTCAATCTAGTTAGATTGAGAATTGGACGTAGTCTCTGTGGATAAGGAAACCCAATATAAAAATACTCATTGTTCCATCTGCTCTTTTGATTACTCTTCCAACATTTCATCTGTTGCAGATACTACTTCACTCTCTTGCAAAAAAATGTGAATTTTTAATATTCACTATTCAACCTCCTTTCTAAGGACCATCTTTTCTCCACAAAATCTAACTAGCTCCTCTTTGTAACATTATTGTCAGGTCAAACAAGCCAGCTTGCTCTCTTACCCATGCTGAGCCTCTAGCCCAGCAACACAAAATGAAACTCTAGGCTATTAGGATATCTTTGTATGGATAACTCCAAAATATACTGGATAATTGTAATCATACACATTACTTTTTACCTAATGAATAGAATATCTTTTAATTCAAGCAATCGAAACTTCAAGCTTAATGATAAGATTAAGTGTATATTTAAGAGGAAAAAGATATCATTGTAACCCTAATCACATTCTAAACCTAAACTATCATTTAATTTGAATGTCAAAGTGTCTTAACAGATGTCCTTATCACTGGTATTGAAGACCAAAAGATGACATTCTCTTTATTGAAACACCCATAAATTTAGGTAACAACAGTAACCATCGAGACAACACAACCAACAAATTTTAATTTGGATATCGGAACTCAAAGAATTGTCCCAATATTTGTTTAGATAGAAGTAGTGTAGTGTATAGGAAAGAAAAAAAGCTATTTATGAGACTAAAATAAAAATTCCCCAAATTAAGGGGAAATGATTTTTTCCCATTTTTAAAATCTTATTTTTTTTATAATATATACTTTGTCAATAATAAATAATTTTATATTAAGAAGGATATTAAATTTTAAATTTTATTTCTAATTTTTATAAAATTATTTACTTTTTTTAATACTATTTTTTCATTCATTCAAATAAATAAATAGAATTTTTTTTCCTATTTTTGTTCATTCAAGCAATATATATATTTTATTTTATTTCTCCTATATATATATTCTTTTCTTTTCTTTTCTTTTCTTTTCTCCCTAGTTCTCTATTAATTCAAACAAAACTAACCAATATGAAGAGGAGGGAAATAATAACAAAATAAAAAATATAAAAAGCCTATGCAAACTAGTGTTTTTTGTAAGAAATTTTTACATATATCATGATATATTATTACTCATCATGATAGCATACAAGGATCATAATTGCATACATTAGAATACCATAAATTAAATAGGATGATAAGATGACTTACTTCTTAAAGTCATGACTTTACACTTTGTCTCTTGAACCCACTTGTGTAGTCTTTATAGATATTTGTTATAGGATAGGATTTTCCTCTCCTTTTTAGTCAAGTTGATGGGATTTTGTATCAAATGCAGCATCCACATACCATATGTCACGAGACATAAATTTATAGAGATTGTGAAAAGGGAACCTACTCTTTCATGTAAAGTCAAAATGGTTCAAACCATACTCTTTTATGTAAGATTACAATGGTTATATTCATACCTTTGATGAAGAGTTATGATGCTCCTACTTATCAAGGATCCATCCAACATAGGTTACATTCTTTTATGTATATTCACATGTGACTTTCAATATCCACCAATCATATAAAATGGATATTTCAAGAACCATCAAGATACTATTCAGTCAATATGTTATAAATCAATGGAAGACTAAATAATAGAAAGGAAAAAAAAATCCCCCAAATTAGAGGGCAATGGGGGAAATAATTTTTTCCCATTTTTAAAATATTTTTTTTATAATATATACTTATTAAATAATAAATAAGTTTATGCTAAGGAAGGATATTAAATTTAAATTTGTATTTTTAATTTTTTTTAAAAAAAGTTTACTTATTTTTTTATATTATTTTTTCATTCATCCAAATAAGTAGATAGAATTTTTGTCCAGTTTTTTTCTCTTCTATTTCTGTTCATTCAAACAATATATGTTTTTTTATTTTATTTCTCCTCTATTTTTATTTATTTTTTTCCTTTCCTCTCTATTTCACAATTAATTCAAACAAAACTAACCAATATGAAGAGGAAAGGAATAAAGAAAAGAGCGTACGAGAAATTTTCCCATGCAAACCAGTGTTTTCAGATAGTACAATTACATAAATTTGAAAAACAAAAGTACCTTTTATACAAAATTTTCTGAACGTTTTCAAAACCAACAATAAGAACCTGTCTCCAATTTGATTCAAAAGTCCAAAAACCATTTGGTTTTGATTGATAAGGCTATATGTCTCATTGTTGTCTGTAGAGATAAGCTAGTGATTATATAATATAATGAACAGTGACCTTCATATTCTATAATAATGTTAGCATGTATAGAAGAGTTTGTCAAACAAGCAGGTGTTCAACTACAAATAGAAAAGAAAGAAGACCATTTAAGTTTATCAATCATGATCAGTTGGATTCTCATCACTATCTCTAAGGTGCTCTTTCAATGGTTGTCCCAGAGATTCCCAGTTTTTACTATCCCATGCTGGATCAATTTCAGGCAGTTCATAGTCATCTGGACGTAATGATAATTGAAACTCAGGAAGCTCCGGCAATGATTGGAGACCCCTGCATCATTAACAAATTTCCAATTTTGCATAATTATTTATTATATTATGTAAAGCAAATTAGGAATTTGGTCATAAATCAAATGAGGTTAGGACAGTTTGGATGAACGGTTTTAGAAGTACTTGTGGGAGAAAAAATAAGAAGGAAAATTGAAATAAACTTTTGTATAAGCTAATACTAGCCTATGCATTAAGTTAAATAGGTCTTATCGAATAAATTTCTCTAAAAGTACTTCTAAAAGAAAAAGTACGTAAAAATAAAATAAGTTTCTTCATAAGTTAAAACTAACTTATACTTAAGTTTATTTGTAATTTTTTTTGGAGAAGCTATATAAAAGAGTTTTTACAAATTAACTTATGTATAAGTTAATTTTAACTTATGAAAAAATATATTTCATCTTTCCTTCTTTTTTTCTTCTTATAAGTGTTTCTAAAGAAATTTATTTAAATAAGTCCAAAGTAAGATTTTGAAAAAACTAATAGGAGAGACCTTCTACTAATAATATATGCATAAGTTGATCTAACTTATGAAAAAACTTATTTAATTTATCCTTTTCTTTTTTTCTCTATTAAAAGTGTTTTTTTTTTTTTTTTGAGAAATTTATCCAAATATGCCTTTAATCACAAAGTTGGAAACAAAGAAAGTTGCTTACTTCTCTTGCTCCCAGAGGTAGCCATACATCTGGGACTTCCTTGATGCAACTTCAGGAATTTTCTGATGTAGAAATTTCATAGCACCCCAAAGTGGAGGAGCCCTTGACAAAGAAATGCAGAATTGTTATGTTAAATAAATGTGGCAATAGAAGCATCTCAGAATAGAGTCAAAGATCAAAACCAACCTTGTCACTGGAGATGCAAGACAAAAGCTTAAGCAGGCCTTCTTGCTTTCAGCCAGAAGTTCTTCTGCAGCAAGAAAACAAGAGACAGCACCAATGTGACTGCTTGGTTCATTACCTTTGTCAAGGATCAGACCATGGTAGTAGTATGCTGCAGCCTGACGACATTAGAAAAAGATATAAGGTATGGATCATAAATAGTTGAGTTTAATTTTTATAGGCCGTGATTAGGTATATGGATCATATATATTGAGTTTAAATTTGATAGACATTCAATGTAAAAAAAAATTACATTGTTAAGTATAATTAACTAGAAATCATCCTTGATATAACTTTTTAAACAATATTAAATTATATGGTAAATTTATGCTGCGAGTGTATTCCAACTAAATTTATATATTATTGGATATGTCAAAGATGTGTCTTTTGGTGGGAAGAATTTTATCAATGGTGATGGCATCACTGATCCTAACCTTGGCTTCAAGGAATTTCCATTTGATGAATCTGAGATGCTTCCTTCCATGCCCTTGGACTTGATTGAAGTCACATCCTGACAAGCAGTGATAAGCCTGCTCAAGAAAGAGAGAAGCACAAACTAGTCATAATCTCTTAAACTAGTTTATGAAGTTATAAAGTTAGTGATTTAAATCAATAGTGATGAGTAGATGCTCAAAAGATTGAAACAAAAACCTGACTAAAGTAAATCAGCTGTTCACATGCCAACCTCCTCTTAACAGACAAAGTTGCCTTCTGACTTTCCACCGCAAGACCAAGCTGAATCTCAGTTCCCTAAATTATCATCAAGATGAACTATTATACTCAATCTGAGAACTTGTTTTACAAGCTATGTCGACAATTTGTCAATGGAATCAAAGATTGTGAAATGGAGTTTTGTGCAGTTTCTGCATGTCCTTTGTACATTTCAATAGAAGAGCAAAGAAAATGACCACCATGTTCACAATCCAATAATTAGCACAAACAAAATATGTAATGCTATTTGATATAATCCAGAGATGAGCATTCTACAGTTGCAACAAAACAGACTAGGAAGGTGAGTGTGAGGAAGCTTATGGAAGCTTCTAGGTGAATGTTACATAAATAAGCTAAAAAGCGTTTATAGGAGGGTTATAGGCCACTTTTATCAGTTGTCAAAATAAGCTTATTGAATTAATAGCTATGAAGTACCATTTTCAATGTGATTCATGTATATCTATATGTATAGAATACAAAGATGGAAGCATTGTTTATTGATGAACTAAAACTGTAAAATTGTCCTCTTGTGGATAATTTCAAAAAAGGAACTGACAGTATAGTACTATTCTTATTTGTTAACCATAAGAAATAATTTACGATGATAATAATTTATAATTTCCATGTTCAGAAATGTTCCAAGAAGTTAGTTCTTAATTTCAATTAACGGAATAGCAATTTATATAATTTATTATGTTTACTTAAGTTTGATTCTGGTTCTTGGAATGTTAAAAAAAAAATCATGTTTTATGAGTTTTTACATCGATATATTCATCTTGTACCTATTATATCGTATATATTCTAAGAATAATCGTATCGTCGTATTGATTAATATCGTATTCGATGTGCATATCATATTTGATATATTTGATTCATATATTAATAGGTAGGACATAATTAAGTTGTTTACTTAAATTATATCCTAGGAGAATTAAATTCTTATGCTAAGTCCAGAGATACTGATCAACAAGTACCTGGCCTAGTGTTTGAATAGTAATAGCCTCCAATACACCCTCCTGCAAGTCGTGGGGAAAAGTTTTCCTGGATGTTGTTTCAATGTAGTAAGTATCTTTAAAGGGTGTTCAATGCTGGTCCAAAACTAGTTTCACAAACTTAAAAATCTATTGAAAAACATACTTGGTTTCAGCAGGTATCCGAGTAAGAATATCCCTTACACAAAACTCCAGGTACCCTGAGGCCTTGAGTAACAAATCAATGGCTTCCCTCTTGCTATCTGACAATACAAATATGCACTCATTAATCATAGTTCAACTTGTGCATAGTTTAATAGTATCTTACTTCATGCATAACTAGTGAAGTGTCTAAATTTTAATGCTTGTGTATTGGCACAAAACCTGAAGATACAACCCTGAATCCAGAGCCTGAAGGGTCCTTTGGAATCATCAATGAGTCAGCCTCAGACAGTGACAGCATAGCCATAAGGTGAATTGCAGATAGCACCTCAAACCATGTATTTGCTACACTACTCTCCTGCAATTGGACTTTAACAAGTTAAAGAAACTAAAAGTTCAACGATAAATTCAATAATAATAATAATAATAAAGAATGAGCTTGTGGATGGCCATACTTGTCTCCCATCTTCTAAATTTTTCCACTTGAATTCTATTAGTCCTTCAAGACCATACTCTGTTAACAAATGAAAACCACTCACAACCCATTTGAGAGTTGGACAAAATATTCATTCTATAAAAATATTTTAAAGCGGTTTTGGAAGAAGGGGGAAATAATGTGTCAATTTGGGAAACCTTTCTTAGTAAGTCCAATCAGAACGGACAAATATTCATTCAAAGCTCGCCGCAATTCAGCTATAGCTGACCCACCTGCACAAAATATTAAAATTTCAGATCAACATAACCTTTTTCACACTTCACTATTCATTCTTTAAGAAATTTAGAATTTCTTTATGAATGTAAGTAGTTGAAGAAGTGGAAGTGGAGTCATTGAAAGAGATGCAGAATATATAATTGCCCTATTCCTATATGGTGATTCGTGAAAACGTTCAGGTTTATAACCTAGTGTTTAACCTTCAATTCTTCTATAGAATTCAAGAAACAGGTAAAACAAATATAGCAATACATATCAAGTGAAGAAGCAAAGACACACCAGTATCCTCTGCTACCAACACTATCTGATTCCTTAGAGAAGTGAATTTATCAGCAAGATCCCTTGGAATTACTCCTTTAAGCACCCTTTGAAGATCAGATTGCACTGGAATTCTTGTTGATGGAACAAAAACCACCACTTCAGGGAAGCTTGCCTTTTTCTTCCTATACACAGAGTAAGTGCACCCCATCCTTTCAACCAAAGCATCCTACACAAACCAACAATTCATTCTCACATCTTAAGTTCATGTCACTGGCAGTGTCCTAAAGAAACTGAGCATTAATGATGACAAGGACATCATGCGGTGATAATGAATTCACATGAGCATAGTGGCCCATTTTAACAGCATAAAAGTGGTAGAATTCAACCCTGCCTCTTAGAAATTTGACTGTAGCCTAATTTAGCCGACAAAAACTGATATATAAAATGAGAATTGTTGTTTATTTATATACACTTTATTAGTATTATTATTAGACGTGGAATTTCCAAGACTGATAAAGTGGGTTGGTAATGAAAAAACTTCATCTAACCAAGTTTTCATCATGAGCAATAATTGGGTGGCCAAATATCATGTTAATAAAGAAATTAAAAAACAGTTGCATCATGTACATGTGTGGGACAGAAAAGACAGTTAATACTGGTAGATTCAAATATGCTTTTATTCAAGAATATTAAAATTAAAATACCAAATCATGGGAGGAGAAAACACACACACATAAGTTGAGGAATGAGGGAAGAACGTAGAATAAAAGGATATTAAAAGAGAGAGAGAGAAAATTAGGAAGAACTTACTGGATACAGAGAGGAGAGAAGCAGAGAAGATTCTTGAGGAGGCAGAACATGTTAATATGGTATCTGACTGAATTGGAAGCTCAAGAACCGAGACATGTCTCACATGGCCATAGCGTAGAATTCTCTGCTTCTTTCAAAGCACCACGTTCACTTGTATTTGTTTTTTGGTTTCAGTAAAAGCTTAACTTAAGATTACTGTGGATATTTATACTTTACAGTACATGCATTATTTACCTATATTAAATATACATTAAGTAAAGATATGTTACTTTTAATGTATTAAAATTTGATAATTATATATTTCAAAAATTTTGCTTGTACTAAAAATATGCGGTCAAAGATCAATTTATTTCGAGAAATCATCTCATTCAAATGAAATTTATAAGTGGATCTTTATTTATCGCCATTTTTGATACATCAGAAAAAATAAATAAATAAATAAATAAGACATAGAGACAATTTTTAGTGTATTTTTCATAAATAATAGAAATTTAAATTTTTCATAAAATTAAATAATATATTTTATAAAATGTCAAATTTAGAAGATAAATATGTTTTTAGTTATTTAAATTTAGGAAAAATGTGTGACGTAGTGAGTTGGTGCAAGGTAAGTGGATGCTAGAGGGAAGATTACTTAAGGCTTTCTCTGATAACAGAGCCTCATAAGCTCATTCTCAAAGAAACCTAGAGAGAGGTTTCAGAGAGAAGGACTCTGGTCCGTGAGCTCCTTTCTCTCCCAAACTTTTCTATTTGATTCTTCTTCTCCCTTAGATCACTAATTCCTTCTACCTTTTCTTGAAACTCAGGTGAAGAAGCTAGTTTTGGAGGATTGAAGTTCGTGAGTTGAGCTCAGGGGAAAATCTTCTTCTTCTTCCTATTCTTGGCCATTTTTAAACCAATATTCAGGTGAGGAAAGCTAGATTGTAGATTGTTTTGTTGCATGTGAGTGTAAGAACCCAATTGATGTATGAATTTTGAGAATTCATGGTTGGATGGAAGAATTTCTCATTTTCGAGGTTTTGGGGAAAATGGGGTTTTTGATGATTTTGATGCGTTTGATGGTTGCATGTTGAATTTGAAGTTGTTTTTGAGTTGTATGAAGTTCATCTTGGTTAAAGTTGTGATTTTCAAGTTTTTGAAGAAAATTATGAAGTTTTGGGGTTGGCTGTTTGAAGTTGCGCTGAGCGCATGTTCTTGGTGTCGGACACGCATTCATCAGAAGCACCCAGTTTCACCTCACGCCAGGCGCAAGGTTAGTTGCCCCAGGCATGATTGAGACTAGGAGTCTCTGGATGAAGTCGTGTCGGGCATAGGAAAACCACGTTGGGTGCGATATCATATGTTTGCCTTGTATTTTTGGTTATTGATATGGCACCGAGTGCGATTTGAGCGTGCCGGGCATAGGGACTCCTTGGGAGTCTCTGCCTAGGGGTGACCCCGGGCGCATGGTGAGCGCGTCGGGCGTGAGACCCTAGTGAGGTCTTTGCCTAATTTTGCATCGAGCGCGAGTTGGGCACGTTGGGCTTAGGAGACTCCTAGGAGTCTTTGCCTATAAACTCGCCAGGTGTGATGATTATACGTCGGGCGTGAGAGAGCCTTAAAGCTCTCGGGTTGGGCTCAGGTCGGGCGCGAGCTGATTTGCGCCGGGCATGAGTTTAGTTGATAAAATGTTGATAATTATGTAGTGAAGTTAAGTAGCTATATAGAGATGATATAAGAGTTGAGAAGTTGTATGTTGTCTGAGTTGTATGAGTTGAATTGAGCTGTTGTGTTGCTATTTCGAGCTGTTAAGCTGAGTTGTGTTGATAAAATGTGTTGTTAAAGTTGTGAGTTGACTATGTTCTTTAAGTTGAAAGTTGATTCAGATGATGAGATGAAACCTGTGTTGATTTTGTTGTGATGATGAGTTGTTGATCACTAGGACTAGGGGAGATGTTTTTGAAGTTGCTCATCCCCTTGTGTGGATTGAGAGTGTTGTGGTGCTCCCAGAGCCTAATTTGTTGAAAACCCTCCTTGGAAAGTTGCCCATTGGAGTGGATGATGTGTTGTTCTCCTCTAGGACTTAGTTGGTCCCGTGTGTAGGCAAGGTTAAGGCACATGTGTATGAAGCGACCATGGTATAGTGGTCAGGTCGAGCTATACCAATTACAAGCGACCAATTTGAGTAAAGTACGAAGTCAATAACTTAGTTCCTAATCGAGTATCGGAGGGCTGTAGTATTTGGAGGATAATCGGTAGGCTAATCCCATAGGTGGCTTAGTTGAGCTAGCTAATGTCGTGGTAGGCCTAAACCCAGTTGTTTTATCCTGATAGAGTACTATACTTCCTCGTTTAAGTGAAAAAGTATGAGAAACCGTCATCGTGTTGTGGATTGATATCCAAATTTGTTGTTTACCTAGCAAGCCAAAGAGGTTCTGTGTTGTCGGTTCGGTAGGACCTAGCCACTTAGACTGCTCATCCATGTTGTAGGAGATCTCCAAGTTGAAATGCGTGACGAAGCATAAGTTGTTGATGAGTTGATTCTGTGTTGATAAAAGTTGTACATGTGTTGTTGAGTTGCAAAGTTGTAGTTGAGTTGTTTGTTGTTATGTGTGGAATGTTGAATTGTTGAGGTTGACGATTGTGTTGTTATGTTTCTAGTTGCTTATCGATTAATATATGTTGATTCTTTTCACTAGCTTATCATTGCATGTTTCCATGTGGTTTGGATTGCAATGATCATACTATGTATGGGTGTAGAGTAGGGATAGGCTGGAGATGAGCAGTAGAGCAGCTGGTGATGCTCGCAATTGGATTTTATTTTGTAGTCTCCCGGTTGTGGGTAGACATCTTGTGTAGATATTTGTAGGTAGTTGCTAGACAAGCAACATGGTTGTATATATACATATACATATTTTGGAGATGTTGTTACTTATATTATATTATTGTCTTCAGTATATATTCATATGTGCAGTTAGCTTGGTATTGTGAAGTGAAACGGTCATGGCGGGTCTTTACAAAATGTATTTTTGTTCTTTCGAATTTAAAGTTAATTTTTTTGCTCCTTTAAATTCAAAAAATCGTATTTTATTTTATAAGGACCACCAATAACATAATTTACAATGATAGCTTAAGATAATTATGCAACATTGACTAAATTTAATATGGTGTATTTTTATTAATAATAATACTAATAAGTAAATATAGGTTAATTTTATTTGAAAAATTTTCTAACAACATTTAAATAAAAGAATAAAATAAGATTTTTTTCCTCTCCAAACTAAAAAAACTAAAAAAAAATAATTTTAAATTTAAGTTATATTTAAATTTTATAATAATTAAAAAATATTTTTTAAAAAGTTTTTTTATAGACAACCCATGAGAATTAAACAGTGTGTTTAAAGATGAACTAACTCTAAAATAACCTTCTCCAAATTGGTATTATTGTATATGTTATGAATATGATTGATTTAGATGGATGAGATCTGATGAGAAATTATTTTGCAAGGTCAGTACTATGTTAGATTTGGAAAGTATTATTGGCACATGGTTTAAGGATCATCAAAGAAGTGGCCTCCGGCATGGACGCCTTCTCGGAAAGCTCGCACGTGCATACTATTATCCCATGCTTCAACTTTCAATATGCGTTTCATACAATTAATTTTTTTTTAAAATGTTATTTAAGTATTATAATTCATTTATATTTTAATAATTATAAAAAATAAAAGTATAAAAAAGTTAACTCTAATATATATGTGTGTTGTAAACAAAAAAAATATAAGTAGGATTTCGTAATGAGCGATTGAAATAATATGTGATGAATTTTGAACCCCTTATCATCAGTATAACTATTATAGATAATAAAAAAAAATAACAAAAATAAGTAGGAGAAAACTCAAACTCAACATTGATGAAAATGGGTTTTTCCCATCAAAATTCAGTCACAAGTAATTGAATACTATTATATACTAGTATTTTTCCATTAGTTTAGTTTTAAGGATACATTGTGACTTTGAATAAAGTCTTTCACATTAGCGTAAAATCTACATTACAGCAAAACCTTTGAATTCCGCCAAAATCTTTTTCCTTGTTTCTCACTAAAGAGTATGTCGATATTGAAAAGTAGATTTGCCAAGATTGTCTACATTTATTTGTTAAATTAAAATATAGCTAACAGGATATGGTCGTGTTCACTCTGACTCTTGTTTATTATCTGAAATGAAATTTTACATTTGTAACATGGTATGTTTTAGAGGTTTTATTTAATTATATGTGATATATGGTTAAATTATTGCATTGTTGTTATGTTTGTTGGTTGGAGCTACGAGGTTAAGGGATCTTTAAAAGTTAAGTTGTTTTTTAGATAATATTAGATATAAATAAATTGGTTCAATTTTAGGAAGAATATATAAGATTTTTCTTAAAACATGAATCTTATAAGTTTATATTTTAATAAAAATTATAGAAAAGTTAAAAAGAAGGTCACTAGAATTCGAAGATTTCTTTTCCACCTTCCTTTACTAAATCTTTCTTCTACTCCTTCTCTACAACTGATCTAAGGTGACTATTTTAGATATTCAAGCTCTTAGAGTAAGAATCTTGAGTCAAGAACGTGTGGGATCACATTCTTCTTTTCCATTTCTTCGTAGTGGATCAACTAGAGATAAGGGAGGTTAGATTTGATCTTTTTTGATAGGTGAAGTTTTGTGTTGCTGAAATTGTGTTGTATTTCTCTTATGGTGTGTTTGGATGAGGAATTTTAAATTCTTGGTATTTAAATTACTTTGATTTCAATTTCTATCATTCTTAAAATATTTTGTTTGGATAAGTCAATTCAAATTTATCAAATTTTAAATTGTTAGGTTGGATATGATAATTTGATTCTACCATGATAAAATTAATTTAAAAAATATATTTATATGTTGAGATTTTTAAATTAAATTTTATAAAAATAAATATTAGCTAATTTTTAAATATTTAATAATTTTAAAAATTAATACTAGATAATATTTAATAATTTTAAAAATATTTTTAAATATTCAATAATTAAAAACATGAAGAGATAAGAGATAAGAGATAAGAGATAAGATAAAAATATATAAGTGAAATAAGAAGAAAAAATATGAGGAATTTCAAATTCTTACTCTTTTGAGAGAATTTGAAATTCTACTATTTCA